CTCTACCGTGACAGGTTAAATACTCGTGTCAACCTCGTCCACAAGGCACATCAACACCTACTCCGCCTGCACGCGGTGCCAGGCGCCCGCTGGAGACGTCTCCTACCTCTTCATGCCCCCCCCTACACCGTCCGCATCTGGCAGAGCTTGGGCATCACCCAAGTCTTGGAATAAATCAACGATCTATGGGAGTGCTCGCTTCATGCATGGAACCTTCAGGTGTATTGCTATTCGTATTGTGCACAATCTTATGGAAAATTTGGAAAGCTAGGAATGATAAAGCCTTTAGGGCCTTAGATAGGCGTTCTACTACCTACTCTAGACTCATCATCTCTGATCTAGATATGTGGCCACATAGGCTCTCTAAGCTATGTGACATGGAAACCATCTCCTTGTGACGGCTTTTACTCTCTTCATGTTGTAATGTGCCTCTTTATTCTGTAACACAGCTTACTGTGACACGTTTGAGTAATGTATTTAGGTGGGGGAGTTCGCCTGGTGATTCTAAAAAAATAGGAATAGTTTTTTGCATCACAAATTTACAATCACCTAAGAGGGTGTCAGACACAACATAACACCATCACAAAACACTTCCCTGCTGGGAGCTATAGAGCATGCATTTCTTAGTCGATTGAGAATTAGCTAATGATATGTCTCCAACATATCTATAATTTTTTATTGTTCCATGCTGTTATACTATCATTCTTGGATGTTTTACAATCATTTTATAGCAACTTTATATCATTTTTTGGGACTAACCTATTGACATAGTGCCCATGTTTTTTTCTTGTTTTTTACTTCGCAGAAAATCAATACCAAACGGAGTCCAAACATAGCGAAACTTTTTGGAGATTTTTTCTGGACCAGAAGACACAAGATTGGTCGAAGAAGTACCATAGGGGTGCCCCGAGGGGGGCACAAACCACCAGGGCGCGCCTTGGGGCCCAGGCGCACCCAGGTGGGTTAAGCCCACCTCGGTGGCCTCCCGGACCGCCTCTTTGCTCTATAAATACCCCAATATCCCAGAAATGCTAGGGGAGTCGACGAAAATCAATTCCAGCTGCCACATGTTCCAGAAAACCACAGATCCAATCTAGAAACCATCACGGAGGGGTTCATCATCCTCATCGGTGCCTCTCTGATGATGCGCGAGTAGTTCGTTGTAGACCTACGGGTCCGTAGTTAGTAGCTAGATGGCTTCCTCTCTCTCTCTCTCTCTCTCTCTCTCTCTCTCTCTTGGTTCTCAATACAATGGTCTCTTGGAGATCTATTTGATGTAACTCTTTTTTGGTGTGTTTGTTGGGATCCGATGAACTTTGAGTTTATGATCAGATCTATGTTTTTATCCATGAAAGTTATTTGAGTCTTTTGATCTCTTATATGCATGATTACTAATAGCCTCGTATTTCTTCTTTGAATCTTTGGTTTAGTTAGGCCGACTAGATCGTTTTTCTTGCCATGGGAAGAGGTGCTCTGTGATGGGTTCGATCTTACGGTGCTTGATCCCAGTGACAGAAGAGGAACCGACACGTATATATCGTTTCTATGAAGGATAATAAGATGGGGTCTATTTCTACATAAATAGATCTTGTCTACATCATGTCTTCGTTCTTATTGCATTACTCTGTTTCTCCATGGACTTAATACACTAGATGCATGCTGGATAGTGGTTGATGTGTGGAGTAATAGTAGTAGATGCTGGCAGGAGTCGGTCTACTAATCTTGGACGTGATGCCTATATAATGATCATTGCCTAGATATCATCATGATTATTTCTATCAATTGACCAACGGTAATTTGTTTACCTACCGCATGCTATTTTTTTCGAGAGAAGCCACTAGTGAAATCTATGGCCCCGGGTCTCTTCTTTATTATATTTTCCCTCGAGATCTATTTTTATTTGCTTTTATTTTCAGATCTATTAATCCAAAAACACAAAAATAACTTTCTGCAATTTATTGTTATTTATTTTATTTCGCGTTCCCGCGAGATCTATTTATCCAATCTACTACAATTTTACCTATCTTGTTACCCGTGAGGGATTGACAACCCCTCTCTTACGTGGTGTTGCGTGGTTCTCCTGCTGGTCCGATAACCTTGGTCTCATCGCTGAGGGAAATACCTACCGTAGGTGTGTTGCATCATCCCTTCCTCTTTGGGGAAATACCGATGTAGTTCAAGCCATAATCACCTAACTCTCGGTCTTATTCATGAATTTGTTTTAGGCAAAACAAAAATTATCACCATGTTATAAAAATGTGTTCATCTAAGAATTAACTAACTCATTGTTTGTTGTATAAAATATGTTTGTATAGATCTATGATATTTTGCATTGTTATAATAGTTTCTTCATCTACTGCAAAAATATTCTACTCTTTGGTCTATGATTAGAAAAGCAAGTCATTGTGAAGGATTGGATTCTGCCTATAACGATGATGACCTTCTCTCGTGACAAAAAAGGTGTGGGACTTCACGGCGAAAAGGCAAACACCATTAAAGACAGTGAAGATGCTTAGTTCCATTTTGTCATCAAGACTTCTCATTACATGATTACAAATAAAAATATGATTAAATGTGTTGCTATGTACATGCAATAAAAACAATATCAAAAGACGTCTTAATCAAAAGTTGCCCTGTTACGAACCAAATTGCCTAATTTATAGCAGCTGAACCGACAATATAGAAACATTCATCGTCAGGCCGGAACGTACAACACTATGCAAAGAATTGCCAAATGTTATTAGGACACATATCAGTGCCATGAAAAAAGTCTCAACTTGGCCACAAAAGGAACAAACAGGATTACTAGTCCATTTCCCCTAAAATAAGATCTTTCCATAATCTAGTCAAGTTGCAAGCTTGCCGTTTTTATGAGCCATATAAAACACTTTCACTATGAGAATGCTTTACAGCAGGGACGTCCTTAAAGTTGTTCTTGAGAGAGGCTACAAACTGATGACTATGATATTTGGCTTTGATATTATGCTGCCAGAAGCCATCTTGGTGTTCTAACTTCTACCGCCACTTAACCGAGGTGCTAAGATTTTGTTTCCTAAGATCTTTCACATCTAGGTGACTATTCTGTGATATGTATATTGCTTGGAACATTTGGAAGGAGCATAATGGGAGGGTCTTCAATGCCAAATCCACCGTGGTTGAAGTGGTTTTGAAGAAAGCTACTTGTGAGATAGGCCTCCTCGAGGAGGCTTGGGAGCGATTTCTTATTTCTTTGTGTACAACCTAACTGTTTGTGTAGATTTAGGATTTTGTTTCTTCTTCTTTTCAGTTCTTCTAGGTTGTGTTTTAGTCATGTAAATATTTCCCCCCAATTAAATGAAAATGCAGACCACCTATTGTTTCAGTAAAAAAAGATCTTTCACACCCAGATCCACTTTACTTTTGGTGCTACAAGTCCATAACCATTTAACCATGTGATATCCTTTTTAAACATTACATCCTTGCTAGAAGAACCATCTTTTGTGTTTGTCCAATTAATTAATAAGTTTTTGTTCAGAAACACTGACGTATGGTAGGAGATATTAGAGAGAAAAACATTTAAAAGGATGTTTCTCGCTCCCATAGAGACAACATTGGCCTGCCATGCATCAAAATATTTCAAGTATTTCCTCCTTCAAATGAAATCCATGTCCACATTCTTAAGGGAAGTGAATTTCACATGTACTCCAAGATATTTCATAGGTAAATGACCAATTTGATATCCAAATAATTCATCATAAAAGTTCACAACGTCATCATAACCCTCAATGTTAATTTTTTACTTTTCTAGAAACGAATATTGACACCAGACAACAATTCAAACATATACTAGAACAATCTGAGATTATATTAAGAGCTTTTGCAGGGTCATGTTGGATACAGATTACTATATCATTAGCATATTACATAACAACACCTTTATCAATGAGGCCAGAATCTAGGCCTACCAACAATATCATTCAACTATATCAGCAGCAATGTTTTACAGAAAGGGAGAGACTGGATCCCCTTTCCTAACTCCCTTGGCACTTTGGAAACAGGGACCATGACACTCTTAAGTTTCACACCAACAGTTCCTCCATATGTGATGATTCCAATCCAATCACAATAACTCCAAACATGACTAAAACATCCCATAGTATAA